TTAGCTTGGAGTGTGAAAGGTGAGTCTGTAACCCCAGGAAGTGAAAGCCAGGCAAAGAAAATGCTCTGTTGGGGCAGTTTATCAACTGGAGTGTGCTCCACTCCATTAGTTATGGGGCAGTGCTTAAAGCATGTATTGCTGGGCTGGGAATGCTGGTTTCTGTTTCAGGCAACAATGAGAGCTGGCTAGATGCTGCTTCCTTCAGCTTAATTATTTATATGGCAATAGAGTGGCTCTGTCACCTTTTCTATGTGAAGAATTGCAGATAAAGGTTAAGCCTGTGTTCGGGGTGCTGCAGACTGTGTTACATGTTCCCAGGCTGTGTTTGGGGTGCTGCAGACTGTGTTACAGATGCCAGGCTGTGTTTGGGGTGCTGCAGACTGTGTCACAGGTGCCCAGGCTGTGTTTGGGGTGCTGCAGAGCTCCTCTGTGGGTGTGCAGGGAGGGGCTGATGTGGCTGGAAGGGAGGACAGCCCATGAGGCCTCACTCCAGATGGAGCCTGAATTCCCAAGTGTTTTCACCTGGAGTAACTCATGTTGTTTGCCAGTTCACTCACAGCCACCTCCCTCCCAGGATGTGGGGATGGAATGGCGTTGGAAACAGGCCAGTGCTGGGATCCTGAACTCTGCAGGTCAGGACAGCTTACCAGAACCCAAATTTCTGCATGAAAAACTACTGGATACAGGCTGGAAGCATCTGGAACCCTTCAAAGTGCACATTCAGTGTCCTGAAGGGGAGCTTGTATAACCAACCTCTCTGTGCTGGTGGTGTCTGGAGCCCTGCCTGGGGAGGGCATGCCAGGGTGTCCTGTGCCTGTGGGTTGTTGCTGCCTGTGCCTGGGAAAAGCAGGAATGTCTTCAAACAGCTGATCCATCAAGGTGAATCAGCATCTTTGCTTGCCTTTCAATTCTTAATGTGCTCCTCCACCTCTGTCAGCTGAAAAATGAATGAAGGCTGGCTCTCCATCCAGCCTGGGCTGTTACTGCAGCTCAGCAGTGCTGATCCCAGCTCTTGTTCCCACCTGACAATTCCATCAGAGTCCACTACTGCAGGATAGACTTCATTAAGTGGCTGTCCATTTGTTAAGCAGATGTGTATATATTCCTGATAATTCCTCCTGGGGCTGCTCACCAAGAAGCTTTTTTGAAGGGTTTTAAACGGTCTCTACTTTTCATGTGTTTGGTTTCCATGCACAAAGCCCTTCCCTGCTTTTTCAGGCACAGTGATGCACTGTGAGACTTGCAGTTATGAAACAGCTGTGAAAGATTTTGGTACCATTTGGTCCCTCCCAATTAAATTTGGCTCATTAAAAGCATCCTTTCTGTGTTTCTCTGCCTGCCAAGCCATGAAGCCAGCCCACCAATATGTTCATTTATTGCTTTCTGCAAGAGATGGCAGTCAGGAAATGGGGAAAATTCAGTTCCATCTTCTTGTGAATAACTTGAGGCTGTGCAGAGTGGTGCTGGTTTGAAAAAGGTCTCATTTTGAAATTCTGCAGGGAAGCAGCAGGAGAGTGAACTGGGCAACTTATTCAGGAAATCAAGGTGCTGCATGCAAAGAGCTGCCATGGCACAGAGGCAATGGTCTAGGATAAAAACCTCTCCTTTAGATTTAGCTTCAAATAAATGAACCCCAGCACTGGCAAAGTGTAGAATTTTGTGCTTCATAACTTCTAATTTGGCCCTGTTTGATATAAAGATTCTTCAATTAACCCTTTTCAGTTGCCCAGGATATTTGTTGGCCTTCTCTGGTTTGGTTATGTTGGGCTTTACTTATTCCATTCCTTCCAGGTTCATCAACTACTGCTTCAGGAGTTAGCCTGGACAGGCTTTCAGGTTAGGTATTATTGATAAAAGTTTGTTAAGTCTGCTTTTCTTGGTTATTAATTTTTTATGTAGCTAAAATAGTAACACTCCATGTCTGTGCTGGGGAAATCAACTAAAGATGCCAAAGCAGCTGGAGGAAGGAGAGAAGGATAATCTTCAAAGAACTGTTTTATCCCAGCACTTAAGATTTTTAAAAATTATTTACCAGATTGATTGTTTATGTCTGGGTAAGGGCAGTGATTCTGGGGAAAAAACAACAGCTTTCCTTTGGGAACACAAAATGCCAAAACAAAGGCAGAGTTTAGGTGAGCTTGCAGAGAAGTGGAGGTGTTGTGTTGCAGGAGGGTCACCAGTGCAGGTGGGTTTTGCATGATTCCCTTTCAGCTTAGCCAGCTTGGGAGTTGTGTCCTTGCTCAGGTGAGGAGCCCAGCAGGGAAATTCCAGTCTCTGGGTGGGTGAGAAGCAGAGCAGGGCTCTGAGTGCTGGGGGTGAGCATCCAGAGCCCTGCTGGCTCAGCACGGCTTGGTGGCACTGCTCAGAGCTGGCTGGGACAGGTCTGGCTGGGCTCTGGCCCTGGGAATTCCTGTCCCCAGCTCTCCCGAGCTGTGCCTGCACTGCAGGAGCACAGCTGGGCCAGGCACATGCTTCTCTCTCTCAGGACTTTTCATAGAGGAGCAAACAGAGGAAAGAGAAAATTTCTGTTTCTTCTCCTTGTTTTCCCATGTGGAATGTGTTTGGAGAATTGTTTCCCTGGGGTGAGTGCTTGGTTGGATTCTGGTGAGGATTGTTTGAGTCTGATGGCCAATCCAACCCACCAGGGGCTGGGCTCTCAGAGAGGGTCACGAGTTGGGAGTGAATTAGATATGGTAGCTAGAGAAAGTAGGTTTATAATTTTAGTATCTCCTTTAAATAGTATATTAACATATTATAGTATAGTTATAATAAAGAAATCATTCAGCCTTCTGGAGTCAGACATCATCATTCCTTCCCAGCAGCTTCACCTGCATTTCCAATAGCAGGGGAGGAGCTGCTCCATGCTTCTGAGCTGTGATTCTGTGGTGGGCTTGGCAAAGGTGTTCTCTCTTCTGGTTACCCTCACGTGGAGCTGGACTGGAAGGGAGGCTTGTGGCAGCTCCCAGAGCCTGCACATCACTGCTGGTGGTGGCAGAGGGATGTGGGTGACCTCAGCTGAGCACAGGGAGCTGCTGGGAAGGGGTGCCCACTGTTCAGCAGTTAATTGCCTCCTTGTGTGGTTGTACCAAGCTGTTAAAGTAACTGTCCTGCCTTCCCTCCCTCCCGGTCTCAGCAGGGACTGTGAAGGAGCTGGGGCAGGGAAGTGCTGCTGTTTCCAGACAGTTCTCTTTGCCATTTGTCTGCAGCAGTGTCCAGGGCAGTGGGGAAGGACAAGAGCACTGATGCTGGCAGGAGGGACAGTGGTAGGAAAGGAGGCTGGGGAGGAGCTGCCCACTTGCCAACAGCCCCATGTTATGTTGAGTTAATGGCTGATAAGTTGTTCTTTATGCTTGGCTCAGTTGCCCTGATAAGATGTGTTTCCTTTCTCTTGAGAAATAAATACCTTGTTTAAATGGCAAGGCCCTGCAGTTATCATCCAGCAGATCTGACCAAAGCAGAGGGAGCATTTTCCTGCAAGGACATGAGATGTCCCTATGTCAGGATATCTGGCTTAAAACCAAGTTCTTTTTCTTTGCTGATGGTGCTCCTGGACTCATTTCAGAGAACACCTTCTGCCTGTCTTTCCAGAAGCTGGTGGAGGTGTAGAAAGGACAGAGGGGCACCTTTTCCTCCAAATAAAATATTTTATACTTACAAAAGAATAAAAAAGGCGGATCGGGAGTGTCAGCTACTGTGTTCATACCAGTGTAGCAGAAATACTTTTTAAAATGGACAAATGTTACATCCTGAGTGACCTATTCAGTACTCTGAACTCTTAAAAGCTGTTAATGCTTTTTGCTTGTTCTCCCCATTCTTTTTCTCCTCTCAACCTGCAAAGGTAAGAAACGTGGTTTTTCCTGACATTTTTGCCAAGCCTGGCCTGTCTTGCTGCCTTCCTGAGCTGGTAAAGATGTGGATTTCAGCAGTGCCCAAAAGGAACACACTGTCCAAGTGTGAGGAGGGAGATAACAGTGAACGGAGAGATTCTGCTTTCTGAGCAGCAGTCAGCTGTGCTGCTGGAAGGGCTGGGGCCAAGCAGTTCCTGGGACAGGGAGCACCCGTGGGTGCAGGGAGCAGTGTCTGTCAGAGCTCAGCCTCTGATCCCAGCCAGGCCAGGCTGCTCTGTCCTCCCTGCTAACCCAGGGCCCTTCTCCTGCCAGGGCTGTTCTGCCAGAGCTTCCTCAGGGATAACTGCAGGGAGCAGGGCTGGAGCTCGCTGCAGGAGGCTGTGCTGCCTGGGACCCAAAGGGGCCAGGGATGTCCCCAAAAGGTCACAGGGAAGTGCAGCCCTGTGGGCATTGCTTCAGTGTGGGCTCAGCCCTGATCACTGGAGGCATTTTGGCTGAGCAGAAATGTCTCCGTGAAATCAGCCATGTCCAGTTCCTGCTGGTTCCTTGGTGCTCTGCTGGTCCACAAGCAGGGTGTGAAACATCTGCAGGGCTAGGTGCCAGGCTGTGCCTCAGCTGGGCTGGGACAGGGGAGGGAATGACCCCTCTGTGTGCTGAGGGGCTGATGGGCAGGAAGGACAGACATGAGACAGTGGCAGGATAGCAGAAATGATGACATAGGTTTGACATGGGATCTTCCCTCATCTGGATTATTTACCAGAGCAATGGATAGTATCAGTTCCTTCAAAATGAAAAAAACTTGGAATGCACATTTTACTGAAGGAGCTGAACATCAAAAGATGTCCATAAAGCTGGAACTTGGCAAACGGAAGAGAGATTTAAATGTCTGTGGGAATGAGATCAGATACTCCTCTTCAAATTTACCTACGCGTATTATCTTTAAATTACTTTTTATGCACGTAATTAAAGAGCCTTTTAAGAGAACTAGAAACCAATAATTTGAATATAGCGTGTACTTTAAGTTGCTCTACAAAAAGCACCTCAAATTTAAGATAAATATTCTAGAACCTCTGAAAAGGCTTTCTGTTCTTTACGACTTTATTTCAATACTGTTTACTAACAGGAATGTTTGCTATTTTTTTCTTTTTCCAGACCTATTCAGGGCTGTTCTGTGTAGTCATAAATCCTTACAAGAACCTCCCAATTTATTCAGAGAACATTATTGAGATGTACAGAGGGAAGAAGCGCCACGAGATGCCACCGCACATTTACGCCATATCCGAGTCTGCCTACAGGTGCATGCTGCAAGGTAAGGAACAGTCTCTGGCTTCCACAGCTACCTGCCAACTCCTCAGAGGGCCTGCACCTTGCCCAGCCACGTGCCATCGGAGTTTTTGTGTCACACAAAGTCTGTGTGACACGCCGAGGTGCAGCAGGAAGGTGACACCAGCACAGCTGTGCTGGGGTCTCTGGGAGCGGAGTCAGAAATACTCTGTTCCTCAAAAAAAAGAGCTCAGTTGTATGTCCAAAGATGATGTGCACAGTCTGTGGATGAAGGAAGAGCAAAAGAGGGGATTGGAAAAGCAGTGCTATAAAAATATTGGTGTTTTGGCAGCTGGCAAATAATCCAAGGTGACAATGGAACAATGGTGGGTTTGAGTTCAAAAGAGGTCAGGGAAATACTTAACCTGGAGGAAATTATTTTTCTCCTAACTGGTCTGTATCTGTATTAGAATAGAGTGAGTTCATGCCGGGCTCATGGTTTGAATTTTGTCTTTAAGGCTGGACAAACACAAAAACTGAATCTGACGTGACAGAAACGAGCACGTGCTGTTGAACTGGCAGTTGCATTTCTGACAGAGTTGCATTTCTTCTGTTTTGGAAGCACAGCTCGTTCCAGTGCTGATTCATGTTTAGGGGCTGTAAAGGTGTGGGGACAGCAGGCTGCTGTCTACAGCCAGGTGTGTGACCCAGAGGCAGCTCTGCACACCTTGCTGTGTGTTGGGCTGGAAGGAGGGGAGAGCTGTCTGAGCTGCTTCACACAGGCTGAGGGAAAGCTGTTTCTGCTGCCAGGTTAACCAACCATTTAAATGTTAACTTTTGGGGTTTTTTTTAAGACACTTGATATCTTTAAATGCATCGCACAAGTCTTTGCTTCTTGAATTGTGACTTTGTCTTTAGGGCTGCTTAATAATCAACTACAGGTTGGTGAGCGTCCTTTCACCTCAGAACTGTGCCAGCAGAGTGGGGTGATGCAGGGACAGGCCGGGGGAGAGCAGCAAATTGGGGCCACCAAGTATTGTTCTGCTTCCCAGTGGATACCTGGGACTCTGTTTTCATGTGTTTTTGTAAAAGAAACTCTGGCTTCTTGGCCAGAACAACAGCCTCTAACAGCTCAGATCAGAGGATGCCTAATGAGTGCATGTGGAGTAATGGCAGAGCAGACCTTAAGATTTATTTGAAGGAGTTTGTTGTAGCAGTCTCAAGTGCATTGTGATTAAGTGCTTCCCAATCTGAAAGCACCTCTTGAAATGGTCTCAAGAATACACTGAGATGTCCTTGAGACAAATGTCCTCTAATAAAGTAAGTCAATGTCAGCAGTTACCACACTCTGGGTGCTCCATATATTTGCTCACATACCTGCTGGTACTCACTTGTTTCTCTGGAGATCCTGCTACATGGACAAATGTTACTATTTTTGGAAGATGGAATTAAAAAAAATGCACACGGTGGTGTATGTTTGGTTACAGTCCCCTTTTCTTTCCTTCTGATGCGTGGAGGTTTATATCTTGTACCAAATCTCTCTGTGGTTACTTTCTTTTTGGTTTTGATAGTCTGAGTTCTCATCTGAACTAATGAAGGCATAGCTTGGAATAAGAGTAGATGAAATCCATGCAATGGAATGCATTATTTGGGGAATAACTTGTTTAAGGGTAACCAAATCTGTGTTTCTAGTGCCCTTCACCTGTATGGAGCCACTCCCTGCTTATTTTAGGAGGCATTTGCAGGAGTTGGTGAATTTCCCATTGATGATTTGCTTGCACAACTGCATTGCAGGGATAAATAAAAACTCCAGCACAGGCCTGAGTGCTGGTGAGGGCGAGCAGGGAGTGTTTTTATCAGGTGGATTTGGGGGCTCTGGCTCTGCCCCGCTGCTCCTGTGCTTCCAGGGCCCCTGCTGCAGAGACACTTCAGGGAACTGCCTTTGTCTCCATGTAAATAAAACTTGCAGTTACAACAACCAAGGTTTTGTAGTCATTAGAGCACCAAATAATATTTGTCTTAACAGTAGCAGATGATTACATTATTCTGTTTGTTTTCTGGTTATCAGTGGCAACACAAGGTCAGCTACTGAGTGTGCCCAGGGTTGGTGAGGATAGGTTTTCCCTATCAAGTATTTAACACAATGTGCAAAATGTCTTTCATCTTCTAATTCTGCCTCATGTTTTAGTCAGCACTTGGTCTTCAATGAAACAGAAAATATTTTGGAGGTTTTGGCTGGTAGTAAGATGTGTCTAACCGAGAACTAGCTGGGTTAATCAAAACACTTGAGATTAATCATCAGAGATGTCTGCAGGCATTTATTTGCAGCAGAATCCTTGGCCAGGATGCTTTTGCTGATAAGTTACTGCCATGTACTTGTAAAAGTGTTCTTGTGCAGTTCCTGTCTGTGTCTGTGCACGTAGCTGCTGTGGCAGAGAGGAGTTTTTCCAGTACTATTGCAAGTCCTGCTTCTGCTGCTCCAGCATGTCCATAGGTTTCTTTTGATAGGAATGGCTGCTGTGCTTCCTGTATTTGACGTCTGAAGTTTAATTATTAGGATTCAAACCTGAAATTGAAACCATAAGAATGCCATTCCTTTGGAGAATATGGCCTTCCCCTAATAGAAATATCCTGGCCACTAATCTAGATTAATGAAAGTGGTTGGCTGGATTTTCCTGGCCTGTTCAGTGGTATTTTGTGCAGTATAATCATGTTTATTTTCCTTGCAGCTAATCACAAACTATTCATTTGCAGGTGTTTGTGAGCTGTTTACTGTGATTAACAGGATACCTGGACCTGAGCTGTGACTCTGAGCAACCTGGTTTCTGAAACCACAGTTTTACTGTGCTGAGAATTGGGCTCAGTGAGTAAAGTGTTACTCAGGTTCTTTGTGCTTTCATGCCTCTAATTCAGAGCATGGAGAGTCACAGCTCAGCTTCCAGTTTCTGCTTTGCTGAGGTTTTGTACGTTTAATATTTGTGCTTAAATAAGAAAGTGGAGATTTTTATTTAGATTATGAAAGCTGAGGATTTTCTGGTCAGCAGAACTGGTGCATGTGCATCTCCGTAGTTATTCCTTGTCATAAACATTCCTGGAACACTCTGAATTTCCCCAAACTGGGGATACAGATGAATCCCTGCAGTTCTGTGTGTGCTGTGGTGGGAAGGGTCTGTGTGGAAGCACTGCTGCCTGCAGCCATCAAATCCCGCTCTGTTCTTGGTCCCCTGAAGAATTCCTGTTTGGGGGGACCTGCTGCCCCCCTGGCTGCCCAGGTCAGCCCTCCCTGTGCCTCTGGGGAGGAGGAGCGGGCTGGAAATGTGGGTCAGTGCTTGCAAAGACACGGGCAGAGGGTGGGGAGAGCTCTGAGACCTGGTCTGGAGGGGAATGAATTCCCCAGGAGGACAGGACGAGTTCTGGGAGCTGCAGAATTGTTCTCCACGGCTGAGCGCTGCAGATGTGGGGCAGCTGTGAGGGAGCAGGGATTTGGGGCAGGTTCTGCAGGGAAAAGCAAACTGCTCTGGTTTGGGACCAGCAAGTCCTGGGCTGCATTCTAGTTATGCCAGTCAGGATTTCTCTTCAGGAAAAGACTCATTACCCAGTGCCTGACCGCAGGAGATAATAACCTGCAATTCAGCTTTCCAGACTGGATTTCCCCTCTCTTTCCCCCAGTAATTATTTTTCAAAGTGCTGTGGTAGTAGGGTGTTACTTCACAGGTGGTTTAGTGGATTTCTCCTGCGCTTTCCCTTGGCTTCCCTGAGGAGAAGGTGAAGCAGGGAGTACCCATATCCAGGGCATAAATACTGGAATAAAGCCCAGCAGTGGGGTAGGGCTGCTGCTGGCCCCACAGAGCATTGCTGACATGATCATAAGGAATTGCTCTCCTAATCCCTGGGACAATGTTGACCTTAATTCTATTTGGTTATACAATTTGCAAGCCTTGCTAGTGTTCTTCAGTCCTGCTCAAAGTTATGGGCCATGGAAATTTGCCACAGAGCAGGATTTTCTTTAAGAAAATGAATTTTCTAGGGCTGATGGGGCCGTGACAATACTTTACCAGCAAGGGAGATTTGATAGTGCTAAAGCAGCACTCGCTAATTTTTCTCTAGTGCTTTTTCCACAGTTGGCTTTCTCTTTTCCCTCTTCCCTTCCAATTTTCCCACTGGATTTCTAGAGGAAGTATGGCTTTGTTTTATTGTGCCTCTTTATCCAGTGACACACAAGTGTTTCAGAAGAAATATTAAGGAAAACTTGTTGACTTTTTGGTGCTAAAGCCCAGCTCGCCTATTAATATTACTCTTGTATAATTATGCTTAGTCTCTCCTTTTTATCCTGTTTCCCTGAGGACATCTTGATGAGCACCAAATTAGCACTGATATTTTAGGCCTGCCTTTAATCCTGTTGCAGAGAAGGTTTATCGGAAACAGCGTAAGAGGGAAGGGAACACTTGGTGTTGGAGAAGCCAGAACTACCTACAGGTGCAGTGCTTCTCTCTTAAAAACATCTTATTGATCTATATTTGTAGTTAATCTTGATTTAACTCCTCCCTTGGGGGCATATCCACCCCCAGATATGGAAGAAAAGAATTGAAACTAAAATAAGACATTTTTTTTTTCCTTTTAGAGGTCTATTAAATCTTCAAATGGAAGAGGGAAAAATTGCTCTGAGACTGAAAGAGTTGGGAGTGATGGTTGGTGTTCTCTGTTGTGAGGAGCAGGTGGAACCTGATAAATGTGCCATTAATGTTCTTGGTATTTTCATTACATCTTGACTTCCCAAAAGGGTCCCCAGGGGCTTTTAAGGAGTTACAAAGTGCAGGATGATGATCCCAGCAGAACTGGCTGCTTGGTAAATGCCACGTGAAGGATTTATAGGTCCCTTTATTGTTACAGTGAGAATTCTGGGCTTTCACTTGGCCCACTCAGGCAGATGTGGAATATAAATACTCAGGTGATGACACCATTAACATCCAGGGTGTTTGTACACCTCCAGGAGTGGCACATGCAGTGTCTTCATGGCTGAGTGCTGGGAGACTCTTGAAGCAAGAA